AGGGGGGTCGAAGAAGACTCCCTCTTGAGATGGTTCGTCGAATTGGATGACGCCATAAGGGCGCGTCGCATCGACGACGGGGATATGCAAGTTGCATTTGCCCAGTCAAATCTGGCAGGACGTGCCAAGACTTGGGCACTGGGGCTCAAGCTGCACGACCCATATGCGTTTGGGTCGTTGGAAGTCTTCAAGTCGCGGCTCAGACAAACGTTTGAACCGCCTAGAGCTGAGTTCAGAGCTCGAACCGAACTCTTGAAGCTCAAGCAGGGTAAGCGTGATGTGCACGCTTACGCTCAACATATACGACATCTCACGAGTTGTATAAGTTCCAATCCGGTGGATGAACACACGTTGGTTTCGGTGTTCATGCAGGGTCTTGCGGATGGTCCCGTCAAGACTCACCTGTTCCGGCTTGAACTAGATTCACTAGAACAAGCCATTTCAATTGCGGAGCAGGAAGACTTCAGTCTGAGACAGGCTCGCGCCAGCTCGACATCATATCGTCAACCGAGACGATATGACAACGGAGGTCCAGAGCCGATGGAACTCTGTTATGTAGAGAGCGAGAAGGCTCGCTCTACAGGCTACAAGAAGTTGCAGAGATGCAACAGATGTCAAAAGACAGGACACTACGCTTACGAGTGTAGTGCCCCTCGTCCAGTGTCTCGCGACACTGGGCGTAGTGACCGTCCACCCATGAGAAAGGGGCAGGGACGAGGGTCCGCAGTTGGTGCAAAGACGCAACAACGGGATGGACCGTCAAAAAACGGACAGGATCAGTAGGTGCGGAGCACCCTACTGGTCTAGCAACGTCAAGAGAATTTGTAGGCCTCTTGATGAAGGTTGCTCCCAACACACAAACGTTGTGCGTTGCTGCTCTAGATAATGAGGTCTCACTCATTACCTTGAAACTCGAAGTGACGAATAAGTTGTCCCTTCGAGCTCTAGTCGATTGTGGGGCGGGCTTCGTGCGACGCCAATCGCTAGAAGATGGTCACTTCAAGTTTGTTGAGTGTGACACACCTCCTACGAGGATGACGGTACGTCTTGCGACAGGCGCATCCGTAACCGTCATGAAGCGCATAGTAAAGATCCACTATACGCTAGAAGATACCCAATATGACGATGACTTTATCGTATTGGATTTGGATGACAAATTTGATGTCACCCTTGGAATACCGTCGTGGCTCAGAAGGTACGAACCACGGGTAAACTGGCAACATCAAACAGTAACGATGCCTGCCGCTTGTTCATCAGATGGCCATCTGATGAACGTTTTGGAGCGTCCACAAGCGTGTGGATGTACTACGAGTGAGTGCGATGGCCTCACTTGTGGTACGGTCGTTAGTACGACTGCACAAAACCTTAGTGTACCAAACGGTTACACTTCGGAGCAAAGTTCCGGCGGCTGTGAGGAAACACAGGCTGCGCCGAAGGTCCACCACTCGAATAAGTCGGGTGGACTGGGACAAAGATGTATCCCTAGAGGGGAACATCTAGAAGAGAAACAATCGATCGCTCAGGTTAAGCGAAACGATAATCCTAGATCGACTGGAGAGTCTTTCGTAGAGGATCTCGCTGTGGTTGCGCAACCCCAGCTAGAGGAAGTAAAGGGAATAAGTCCCAAGATTACAAATACGGCGGAAATAAGTTCCCCGAAACCCGCGGGAATAAGTCCCCGGGAAGACGAAGGAATAAGTCCTTCGAAGCCTGAGGGAATAAGTCCCCAGGAAATGACAGAGACATTGAATGTCATAGTCAATAACGGATCATGTGTAGGCGCTTATACACTTGATCTGATTGCGCCTCCGAAGTTAACTTCGGAGATCACTCAGTTGCCAACGCTCGAACATAAAAGATTCTTGCGTGATCTGCGTAGTGGCAAAGTCAAGCAGATCTGCATACTCGTCGCTGAAGACGAGTATGTAACCGACATAAGGTCAGCAACAGTGTTTACTGAGAACGAGAGAGTTCTCAGTAGTTCATCTATGGACGAGAGTGCCCTAGATGAAAAGACACGAATTGAGCGATATGAGTCCCGATCATGGGAATCGCTCAAGGAAAATCCTCTCTATGAAGATTTGGTTGAATTCAAGGATGTATTCCCTGAAACTGTTCCGTGCGAATTACCGAAGGATAAAGGTATTCGACACGAAGTCGAGCTTAAACCAGGCTCGAAGTACTGTGTCATGAAGCAGTGGCCACTGCCTCGTGAACAAGTACTTGCGATCGACAAGTTCTTTGCCGATCGTTTAGCAGCGGGCCATGTGAGGGAATCAACTTCCCCACATAGCTCTCCGACCTTCTGTGTGCGAAAAGCAACAGGAGGGTGGCGGATAGTGCACGCGTTTAACAAATTGAACGCTGCAACGGTACCGGCTCAGACGCCGATACCGAGGAAGGACGTAATCATTGATGGTATGTCAAAGAGTACCATCTTTTCGTCCATGGATTTGATGGATGGCTTCTATCAAATCCTAATGCGGGAACGGGATATACACTATACCGCAGTTAGCACGCCTAGCGGCATGCTCTGGGAATGGCTAGTAATGCCACAAGGGCTCAGTAATGCCCCTGCCACGTTCAACAGGTGTGTATCACATCTGTTGAGGCCAGTACGAGAATTCGCGCCAAGTTATTTCGATGACGTATTCATCCATAGTCGAGCTATGGATGGAAAGTCGGACGTTGAGGTTCACAGGTACCACGTCCGACAAGTTCTTACAATCATGCGAAAGCATCAATTGTATGCAAACCTCAAGAAGTGTATATTTGCAGCAAGCGAAATACCACTTCTTGGGTGCATCGTTGGTAAGAACGGTGTACGTCCTGATCCCGAAAAGATCAAGGCGATCACCGACTGGCCCGTGCCGGTCGATGTCAAAGGTCTTCGAAAATTCCTTGGGCTAGCGGCGTATTTGCATAAGTATTCACGCAATTACGCCGAGATGACTGTACACCTCTCTCGTTTGTTGAAAAAGAACGAGAGGTGGTTATGGAACGCTGAATGTCAACGCTCCTTTGAGGGTATCAAGCAGAGCTTGATACAATCCCCAGTCCTAGCAATAGACGATCAGGACAGGCCATTTCATGTGGTCTGTGATGCCAGCGATTTCGCAATCGGCTGTGCATTAATGCAGTACGACCTTGAAGGCGTTGAACGCGTCGTCTGCTATCAGTCGCGTCAGCTGCAACCAGCTGAGCGGAACTATCCAGTGCATGACAAGGAACTCCTTGCCATGAAGTATGCACTCGCGAAGTTCAGAGTCTATCTATTAGGAGATAGACCCTTCGTTGTTTACACTGACCATGCGTCCTTACGCACGGCAGTGAACAGCCCGCACCTTTCACAACGAATGGCGCGGTGGTTGTCATTCTTTGCAGAATACAACTTTACGGTCGAGTACAAACCAGGACGACTTAATGTCGTCGCTGATGCACTCTCACGTCGTACCGACTTTGAAACAGTCGCGAAACCCAACAGTGAGACAGCCACTGTTGCGGTTATGACGTCCTCAGTTCCATCTACAACGTTGTATGATGATGTGAGGCGGGCATACGCCCAAGATGGTGAGATAGTGAAGTTGTTGTCACATCTCTCCCAACCATCTCGAGAATCGTTGAAACGATTGTCGTCTGCGTATCGATCTGCATCAGATCGATACACTACTCGTAACGGTTTACTGTACTATACAGCCGTTTCTGGTGACACACCACGTGTTGTCATTCCAGATGATATTGATCTGCGTTTGCGGATCATGTTCGAGTATCACGATGCTCCTATAGGAGGACATCGTGGCCGAGAGAAAACATATCTCACGGTAAGTCGAGACTTTTACTGGCCCCGCCAGTATCAGTTTGTGCGAAAGTATGTTCGCGCATGCGAAGTCTGCCAACGAGTGAAGTCAAGTCCTTCACTGCGTGCACCTTTACAGCCTCTACCGGTTCCGGCTGAGTGCTGGGAATCCATCTCAATGGATTTCGTCTTCGGGTTACCCAAAGACGCACGCGGGAATACGGGTATTCTCGTATTTGTTGACAGACTCAGCAAAATGGTACACTTTGTGGCTGTACCAGAGACAATCACGGCAAGTGGCTGTGCTTGTGTCTTTATTGACACCATCTTCCGACTTCATGGGTTGCCCCGTGAACTCGTATCAGACAGAGATCCACGATTCACTGCTGATTTCTGGCGCTCCGTGTTCAAATCACTCGGAACGCGCTTGAAGATGTCGACATCTGATCATCCAGAGTCAGATGGTCAGACGGAACGTGCCAATCGTGTCCTTGAAGAGATACTTCGAGGATACGTACACTCCTTTAAGAGTTGGAGTGAGTTTTTGCCGATGGTAGAGTTTGCCATCAACAACTCGGTGCATGCGTCGACGACACATACACCGTTTTACGTGAATGGCTTGCGCCATCCGCGTGTACCCACCTTACTAGAGTGTAACTCTGGTTTAAGGGGGGGGAGGGACTAGCGCGAGCAGAAACCGAATTGGTTCACGCTCATCACGCTCTGACGAAGAAGTCATTGCGTTTGATGCCGATATCGATAACATCGATATCGAAGAAGATGATGCCAGTGAGAGTGCGGAAGCCCTCACTGAAGACAATGATCCCAGTGAGAGTGTGGAAGCCCTCACTGAAGAAAAGGTTGTTGTCGCTGCAGTGCGCTCACAGCACACTGAAGCTAACGAGTCATCAGATGAGTTCATACTGGCTCGTGAAACGGTAGTCCGTTTTGTGCAAGACTCCATCGCCGAAGCGGTGGATAAGCAAAAGCAAAACGCTGACAAGAATGGAAGGGCAAACACTCTTTTATTTAATAAAGGTGACTTAGTCCTACTGTCTACGGTTAATCTACCAAAGCATGTAGTGACTAACTTGGGTAGCAGTAAACTACTACCCAAGTACATTGGCCCATTTCGTGTATTGCACCGCCTAGGCAATGCATACACGATCGAGTTACCACGTAAGATGCGAACGCATCCCACGTTTTACGTTGGTCGGCTTAAGCCGTACCATCCAGTACGCTGCTTCTTCCGATGAAGAACGCCCTTGCGCTCAAGCATCTCGCAGAGAGCCTTGTGCTCCCGATGGTGGGCATCAACAAGGGTCTGAAGAGCAGTTATCTCAGCCCGAGACCGATCAACAATCCCACGAGCTACCCTTAGCTCGTCACGAAGAGATGTCAGAGATCTCTCGTTCTCAAGCTGAGCAAAGGCAAACTCAGCTCGATGCTTCGAGGCAGTGTCCACCATCTGGAGACGCCTATTCCGCTCATGCTCGAGATCGTCGCGTAACCCTTGCGTTACGCGATCAAAGAAGCTCTCGGGAACACACCGATCCACATGATCGTGTGGAGAGCGTCTTTCCTCCTCCTCCACCTCCATTAGAGGACTCTCGCGGTGGCCAGCGCTATCTAGTTGAGCAGCTGTTGAACCACCGCGACGTGAACGGACGTCGGACGAGTTACCTCGTCCGGTGGCGCGGCTATCCCCCGTCCTGGGATTCTTGGGAGCCCCGCTCCCAATTGATGGTTGACGTACTGGGTCTGGTCGAGCAGTACGACGCGACACATCCTGTGCCGCAGAAGGACCGCCGGAGAAAGTCTTCCCGGCACGGTCGTAAAGGGATTTCAGGTTGTCAATCCCTTCGTACATCTCAGTAGAGACACGTACGCGCCACCACGGGCTGGTAAGGAGGTAAGCCTCCTTAGGTGCTCGTGCAGAGTTGTTCACACAACATGGGCACGAGTCTCCCCAAGAGAGGCAGGGTAATCCTTTCTCCCTTGACAGACGATGCAGCTTGTAGCGTGCACCTGTCGGGGTTCGCTTTTCAAACTTATCACGAGCTTTGATAAGTTTGTCGTTCCAAGCGTCACGACCTACATCCTCGAGATTATGGATGTAGGCGTTCCACGCCTGAAGTAGTGAGGGACCATCACGTTTGTGATTCCCACTGTACCATCGATGTCTGAAGAAAGCATCGATGAAGAACTCATGTTCAGCGCGATAGTCTTTCGCGCTGGGGTCAAGGTGATGAATCCTTGACGAATCGAACAATCGTGTTCGATAACGATCACTCGTCGTCGCCGACAAGTGATCCATGACAGATTTAGAAGGCATCCATGCCTTCTTTTCTGGAAGCGAGACGCAACACATTGCGGTCCCGCTCTTCCTGCGACGTGCCGACAGAAGTACTGGCACCTCGCTGTGAAGTGGTGTCCATTGGAGAAACGACACCACTATTAGCGCCCGAGTCTCGCGACCTCGAGCGCCTTCGCTTCGGCGATGGTTCATCTGACTCATCAGATGAACCAAAGATGCTGCGACGCAAAGCATCGTCCATGCCACGCTTGGCAGGCGGCTTGGATTCAATTGCCGTCGATACGGATCCGTCATCCGTATCAGGAGAGTACGAGACACCGAGCTCGTACTCTGTGAAGACACGAGTGTCTTCATGACCAGCGCCTGCATCACCAGGTGATACAGGCTGAGTCGATTCAGCAACCGATGGGATATCAGTTGCTGTAGTTTCTGCTTCGGCGTCCGCACAGAGACGTGCAGACGCGCTCTCGGCGGCCTTGCTCGCGCATCGCATGGGCTTGTTTACCATGCGATGAGATGTTGGAAAGTGGACGCGGACCAACAAGTGCAAACCCCGTCCCAAATGATTTGGGACGAGTATCCATTTAGTCAATCAGTCACTAAAGTGACTGATGGTTAAGGGGGGGTGATGTAACGGGGTGAATCGTTACATAACAATTTATAAGAAATTGTTAATAGAATATAACTATAAGAGTTATATTCTCAGAATATTGTCATAAGGACAATATTCTGTAGCACTTCCAAGTAGTTCCTAATTGGTTGATATAGGCCATTATATCAACCAACGAAGACGCGCCACGACAGACGCACGCAATGAGTGGTGAGCAGATAACTGATTTACACATTTGTATTTAGACATAGTTAGATGAAGATAAATAGTGATTTATTGCAGACATTAACTATTATAAATACAGTTCTACTTTTTACTCTAACCGAGTACTCGCTTCTTCTTACCGTCTTCCTCTGCACGTACGAGTGTACGTGAAGTTACGAGGCACCGCCTTATTCTGTTATCAGAATAAGTAGCTTGTACTGTCACCAGTACAAGCTTCAGGGTGCCCCGTTACAGCAAGACTACACTTTTGACAAAGTATCTTGTTCGCATTCCGACTCTTATGCCCTCTATTTGCTCCAAGAAGAGTATTACTTCGCCACAAGGACAGACAAAACGCTCAGTAAGAAGCCCTCCATCGACGCTTGTTAGACATTAGCACAAGACGAAAGGATAGGATCGATGCAAGCCTAGCTTGTATTAGTAATCGAACCTGGAAAAAAGAAGAGTCGAGCTAAACGTGCATCAAGACAACAAATTACGCACAGCGGAAGTCCTGGAGCTGACGTGACGTCCGACCTTTACAACACAGACGGAAGGAACAATTATTAGGTACGAAACAGTCAACCGCTTCTATAAATCATCATCGAGCATGTATACGAGGTACACTGGCCGAGCCTGCGGCATCTACCTAGCCGCGAGATTGTCTGAAAGCTGCTCAGAAACGTGTTAGTGCTCTCATTGAGTTTATTTTGGTGATCTGTGAACACGTCAACACCACGGATCCAGAAAGATACGATAATAATGGTGGTAACACAACTTTTGCCACCCGTCCAACGAGCATCACAACCAGGGGTCAAGCCTACGCTGAGGGTGACCAAGCTCTAGTGTGGTCGATCATTTTACGTTTGCAGCTACCAAGGTACAACAGGAGGGCTTAACACAGAAATCAAAGCACATGATGCTCATGCTCGAGATCTGGAGCTGGATTTGGCTCAAAAGTTAGTGATGATAACCTTCGCCCCGAGTATCGTATGGCTAAAAGGGAGGAGAAGTGAGCAGCGGAAGAGGAGAGTACTGCTTATTATGAGCTAAAAACTAAGGCTCGCAAGATTGAGAGAACCCCGGCTAAGGTCAAACCGATCTGGCTCTCATCAAGCCGTGCGAGCAGTTGCAACATGAGCTATTGCGTGCTGACAAGGCTTCTCAAATTCGAGTAAGGAATAGCAAAAGATCCAGCGTCCATTCTCTTCGTCCATTCAATAATGACGAGGTCACATAGTCGAATTGTAACGGAGTAGCCCCTTACATCATATTAACACCAAACGGTGTCAATAGGGAGATTGTCTAGCCTGACAATTCCCTATTAATATTATCCGAGATGGATAATTTTGAAGGAATATTATCCCCTTCTCGGATAATATTCATGCGCTGCTCAAAGATTGGTAGATAAAGACATATCAAACAAAGTTACCACCAATCGCTGCTAGACGCGCGAAATGAGTGGTGAGCAGGTTGTCGTCATACAGCAATGTAGACTAATGTATTTCGATAAAGATTATAGTTGTATTGATAACTAAACCGGATTGAATACAGTTCTCCTACCCATTACTTAAACTAACCGTTTGAGTAGATTCGCTTCCTCTGCATGTACTAATTTACGTGAAGATTCATGGCGATCCAAACAAAGGGGCCCCCGTTAAACCTGGTAACACTTCGTAGTCCGTTCAACGACTACTTTGTGTCCGTTCAACATGAATATGTGAGCGTAGCGGACGACAGCTTTTACGTCACACGTGAAGGCTACTCCCATCTGAGTGAATCAGAATGGGAGGTAGTCGGCCGCATGAGTGTGCTCATGGGCGAACCCGCCATCAATGGCATATTGGAGTTCTAAGCTAAGCAAAGACCAGCAGCATGCTGATATCAGCAAGTTCCTACAAGTAGAACTTGCCGTCGAAAGACAGAAGGTAGCCTTGCTACTGCAGCAAGGCTCTCATCAGTCGATGGGCGGGCCGGCGCACACGCGTCGACCCGAAACCTTGAAGATAGATATCTCAAGGTACAAGGGAACCTATGAAGATTCCCTTTTGAGAGGGTTCGTTGAGTTAGACGACGCCATCAGGGCCCGTCACATCGAGGGTGACGAGAAGCAAGTCACCTTCACCCTGTCAAATTTGACAGTACGAGCAAAGACTTGGGCCTTAGGGATCAAGCTTCACGACCCAAACGTGTTTGAAGTCGTTGTAGATCTTGAAGTCTCGGCTCAAAGAGACGTTTGAGCTGCCAAGATCCGAGTTCAGGGCACGCTCTGCACTCTTGAGGCTCAAACAAGGTACGCGTGATGCGCTTGCTTACGCACAACACTTACGCTACCTTGCGAGTAGTGCCACGGAGAACCCTGTAGATGAGCATACTCTCATCAACGTGTTCATTTACGGCCTTGTATATGGACCGGTGAAGACCTAGATGTTCCAAGAGGACTTCCATACGCTGTAAAGGGCGATAGCGTATACGGAACAAAGAGACTTCAGCCTGAGACAGTCTCAGGCTAACTCGTCAAAGTATCGTCCGACGAGACGACAGGAAACAGAAGTTTCCAAACCAATGGACCTCTGTTACATCGGGAGCGAGAACTATCGTTCTCTGAGTCATAAGCGATCGGCAAGATGACACCGCTGTAAGAAGATTGGACACTACGCTCATGAGTGTAGTGTCCCAAGCACTGCAACACGTCCAAAGACAAGATGTGACGACCGCCGTTGGCCAAGAAAAGATCCAAGGCGCGGATCCGACCATGTCGCTAAGCCGCGACAGCAAGTCGGACTGTCAAAAAACGGTTAGGTTCAGTAGGGGCGGAGAAGCCTGCTGATATAGCAACATCAAGAGAATTTGCAGGACGCTTGACGAATATTGCTCCCAACACGCAGTCTCTGTGTGTTACTTCCCCTAGTGATGAGGAGTCTCTCATCACTTTGAATATCGAAGTGACAAGTGGAATTTCACTTTGCACCCTAGTTGACTGTGGGGCGTCGAGCAGTTTTATTCGACGCCAGTCGCTAGAGGATAATTGTCTCAGCTATGTTGAGCGAAAGTTCTTTCCAATGAGGATGACGGTGTGCCTTGCTACAGGCCCATCCTTAATAGTGAACGTACGTGTAGTGGGAATCAACTACACTCTGGAAGGAAAGCAATACGATGATGACTTCATCACACTAGTTCTTGATGACAAATTTGACGTCATCCTTGGTCTGTCATGACTTAGAAGATACGAGCCATGGACTGGCTGGCAGCATCGATCCGTGAAGATGCCTGCCGTTTGTTCATCAGATGGCCATCTGATGAAAGTCTTGGAGCATCCATTAGCGTGTGGATGTACTAAGAGTGAGTGCGAAGGCCTCGCTTATGGAACGGTCGTTATTACGACTGCACAAGATCACAGTGTGTAGAAGGCCACTACACTGTGAATCCAGCTTCCGGCACTTGTGGAGAGACACAGGCTGCGCCGAAGTTTCGAAGAGATCGAGTGGACTGGAACACGGATGCACACCAAGAAGGGTGCATCCAAGAAGAGAGATCAGTGTTGTTCAGGACGAACAACACGTTGAAGCGAGATCGACTATCAGAGAGTCGATCGTAGAGCAAGACCGATCGACTAAAAGATAGCCGATCGAAGAGGACGTGACCGTGAAAGTACACGTTATGGAAGAAGTTTCTAGCGTTACTGAGAGTGATAACTCCCGAAAGAGTTATGTTGAGGGTGTATATTCCCCAACCACCT